TAAAAAATAAATAAGATTTGAAGATTCAAAAAAAAAGTAATGTAAAAATTGATGGAAGAAAATCTAGAAGAAATGGGATGGCTCTACAAGAGCTCTAAAGATTAACCTTAGATATTAGAAAAGACATCTTATCCTCAGAAGTTAGAGAGGATAACATGACAGGTTTGAAAATAGAAATATTTTGTGAGGTTATAAAGGTGGGAAGGTAAGAACTTATTTGTGATGACTTCTAATTCTTCTATGAAGGTCTCACAAAATGGATAAGAAAATTAGAGAGAATGGTGAAAATCTGGAAAATTATTGTGAGTGATAAGGTAACCAACCTGATTAGAAACACACAACATTACTCCCAAATAGAGGTGAGGGCCTCAGGGAGGTCTGAGACTTTAAATCTGTAGTCGGAACAGTCTCCGTGGAAGTGAGCCTGTGTCACCAGCATGCTACAGCCCTGATGCACACGTAGATAAAATGGACAGAAGGAGTAACCCAGCTCGTGGGTTAGCACATGCATCATGGGAGAAAGCCTAGGGGCAGGTGTAATGTGAAGGTGCTGTCAAAAATTGTTACTCATTTACTATGGAATCTGGAATCAGAAGGGGTAAAAAATGAAACCAGAAGGGAAAGAAACACTTGGGAGGAGTGTTAGAAAACAGAGGACTCAGTGAAGGACATTAGAGGACAAAAAAGGGAGAACTGAAGATGCAGACTGTGGTCAGACAATGGAAATTTCCAGTTGAAAATTTCAGGGGCTATTCAGTTCCAAGTGATGGAAAGTTTCAGTGTTTTGTTATGAGAATGACTGGCCACCAGAATCAAAGGGACCAGCCTGCCTGTCAGGGATGAGTAGTGTGATTATAGAAACTCTTCAATGTGGGGGAACTGTCTCAAGGGGTGGAGGTGACAGCTGTGAAGAAGGGTGGAGGACGGATCAGAGCACACTATTTGGAAGCAGCCACAGAGAACTGGCCAACGGCCGGGTGTGGAGGGCGAGGCTGTCACGAGGGCTGCGCCCAGGGAATGCTTGTCCAAAGTGTGTAACAACACCTTCACAGGCTGCAAAATCCATTCAGTGGTTTATCACCACTGAATTATTTAAGGAACTAGAACAAAATACTAGTGTACACTGCACATACAAGAGATTAATGACGTCTTGCGACCTTTTTGCTTACTTTATTTACATAACTTTGTAAATGTGTGCACGCACTAGATTGTGATATAAACTGATGCATTTCTTCCTGTAGTCCCTGGCAAGAAATGGTTAAAAAAAGACTGAAGGGTACAATGGGTCTCCTAGAAAGTGCCCACCTTCGACACCCACATGGTTGGGTGGGGACAAGTGGTCCCAGTTATGGTTACAGCAGCCAGCTGCTACTCAGCCCCAAGGAACGGTGCAGATGAAAAAATGCGCCACTGTCACCACACTTAGCAGTTTTTGGAAAGAAGAAATCTACTTTTCCATGTAAAATCTCTAAGTTTTTAGCTGTTGTGGAAGATCTTAAGCGCTAGACTTTGTAGGTAGGCTGCACTGTGTCATCTCTGATTAAAGGTAAGGAGATGGCAGGATATTCCGTGAGGAGGTAACAAATTAATGGATATAAAGAAAGTTTGTTTACATGGAAAAGGGAAGAAGGCACAATGGAACTGGAAAGCTCAACAGTGAGGAGGGAGCTGGGCAAAGAAGGGCACAAAGACCCTTGGCCTGGACGCCCATCACCCCTCACATGACACTCAGTAAGACATGGGATCAAAAAACAATCCAAACGTGAAAGTATCCACATCTCTAGCTTTCTATATTAACATCTACCCTTCTTAATTCTCCGGACAGACACACAGCTTCAGATGCCAGGAGGGCTTTAACTTCCTTAGGAAACACTGCGACAAACCCCCATTTTGTATCCGGGTACATTAGCTCAGACTAAATATTTCAGTTATAGCAGTGGTGCTGCTTACATGCCAACAGCCCATCTGAGCAATGCCATATCAGCGTGTACCAAAGGTTTGTCCGATTATTTGAGCATCTCACTGAATTCTTTCCCTGTACTTTCTTATTATTAAAATTTATTGGGGTGACAATGGTTAGTAAAACTACATAGGTTTCAAGTGTACAATTCTGTAATACATCATCTGTATATCACATTGTGTGCTCACCACCCAGAGTCAGTTCTCCTTCCATCACCATATATTGACCCCCTTCCCCTGTATTTTCACTTTAAAAAATTAGCAGAAGACGTCAATGCTGATATTTGTGATACAGTAGGTATGTTTCACTGTCAACTGACACAAAGATGGAAATGGTTAACCATGTCAAAAAACCCTTAGCCTCAATCATGAAACATAGGCCAGTCAACTGTGTAATCAATTGTGATAAAAAAACATGTTTTCACTTAAAGAGAAGCTGTATTAACAATTTGAAAATTATTTTGGCAATCTGAGAATGAACCGCCTCATAACATGTAAATCTACTATCCATCTTCCATAGACTGATTTTTTTTAAGACACTGTGAGAACGCAGGAAACAGCTTTTATTAACATTTATAAAATATGGTCACTTCTCTACTTTTATATACAATGCACTACCGAAAACATATATGTAAGTCAATCTCACTTCAACCTTCTTTAAAATAATGAAGCTTTACATTTATATATGCCCATTGTTCCTATCCAGTCACAGTGAATTTTCCTACACAATTATTTTACACTTCATGATCTTTGTCCTTCTCTAGATTTCATATTTATTTGTGCTCATTTTCCTAAACAATGATGATTTATTTTAACCTACTTACCTATTGTTGTTCTGTTTTTTCCAACCAGCCAACAGTGGTAGCTGAAGAGTGACAGGACACTGATAAAGAACATTGTTGACACAAAGAAAAGAAAAAGTACATGGAATTTGGCACGTGTATCTGGGAGTTCATTCTGAGGGAAAAAAAAAAAGTATTAATGTTAACCTCTAAAATATACTTCTTATTACTATTTTAATTAAAATTTATTGGGGTAACAACTGTTAGCAAAGTTACACAGGTTTCAGGTATACAATTCTGTAATACATTATCTATATATCACATAGTGTGTTCACAAATATACTTATTATTTGATTTTTCCTAAAGATTGCTGAATCCACCAAAAAAATTGCCAGATATGAAGAGTAACAGAATAAACTAGATAACCTATCCAAAAACATTTCCAGAGGCAGAAAACTGGTATTATCAAAGGAGCTTGCTTAGTCAAGTGTCAGAGCCATTTAAAAAACTGCTCTTAAACATTTAAAATTTTAGCAATACTTTCTGTAATTTAAAAAATGGATTCTTTTAGCCAACATTCTGCATCTATGCAAGCTTTCCCCAACATCGGGATATAGGAGGGTTTTTCCCCACCAATGCTAAAAGATTTGCTATTTTAATTATAGATGCTGCTAACCAGAAACTAATTGTGATAAATTTATTTTTGTCCTTTCCTAATCTCCACTTTTGGAACACCACTGCAAATATGCCCATCCGTTCACCTGCTTCAATTTCAACCTTTTTTTATCCTCCCTCTATTCCTACAGAACCTTTTTTAGTAATTAACAATTTCGGTAAATTTAACAAAAGGTATTTGTGAATGAAAACAGCTTCTCAGTTACCCATTCTTATGGTTATTTTCATTTTAACAGAAGCAAAGTCTTAACCTAGAAGAAACAAGTATCTATTGATAAGAGGAACCTTTTCAGTGTTAGCTCTTAAAATAAAATCATGTAGGGAGATCACAGACACCACTAGAACCTGAGGTAGTACTGCTTGATTTAAACACTGTTTACGGGCAAAAAGGAAGATTTTTAGCATTACATAATTCTGATGTTTATCTTTTTCTCCTCTCCCAAAGTTACCACAATACCTTTTAAATACATCAAGTGATTCTTCTGTCTCCCCATAATGTGATGCAAATGATTATTATGTATATTCACTGTAATGTCATAAAAGAGATGACAAGAATGTCATGGCAATAATGTTTTACCTGTGGACAACTCTCTGTAGACTTCCTGCGGCAAAGCTTGTACAAATAGAAACAATGCATTAAGAAACCAAATTTTATACAAAATTTTCCTGAACACTCGTTTTATAAGTCTTCTGTTTTGAAGGAACACTAAGTTGTTACTCTCTAAAACTCATCAACAACATTTTCTCAAAAATCGCAAAACAGAAAATGGTCAAGAACACCTCGTTCTTCGAGCACCTTTTTGGTACATTTTAAATACACACCTTTCCACTCAGTTTTTAAAACAGATTTGTATCTAGGATAGAATAAAATTAATATTTTTTAGAAAACAGATTTACAAAACTTCTGATCAGCAGATTCTAAAAACTAGATCTGACAATTTGTTATCACGTTCACTGCTATTGCAATGGCCTTCTCAGACGAGTTGATCTGCCCCGTTGGTCTAGCTTCAGCACAGAGTGACAATTTACAAGTCAGGTCACATCACTCCTCGGCTCCCATTTCACTGGGCAGAAGCCAGGGCTCTTTACCATCTGGGCCCATCTCCTGGACTTGCTGACAGTCTCACGCCTGCTCATCTCCTCTAGCCACACCAGCCTCCTTGCTGCTGCTCAACATGAGATACTTTAAGATCTAACGCTTAGCGACTTTCAAATATACTTATTAATTATAGTCACAACGTTGTACGTTACATCTCCAGGACTTATCTTATTTTGACCACCTTTACCCACTTCACCCATTCCCTACCCCCTACTTCTGACAACCACCAATCTCTGTATCTATGAGCTGTTTTTTTTTTTTTTCATGTTCACATAAGTGAGATCATCAGTATTTGTCTTTGTCTAACTTATTTCACTTAGAAAAATGCCTTCAAGGTCCATCCATGTTGTCCCAAATGACAAGATTTTCTTCTTTTTTTATGACTGCATATTTCACTGTATATGGATACTACAATTTCTTTATCCATTCACCCATCAATAGACACTTAGGTTGTTTCTATGTCTTGACTACTGTAAATAATGCTGCAGATATCTTTTCTAGTGTTTTCGTTTTCCTTTGAATAAATATCCAGAAGAGGGGTTGCTGGGTTGTATCATAGCTCTATTTTCAATTTCTGGAGTAACTTCCAAACCGTTTTCCATACTGGCTGCACCAATCTGCAATCCCACCAACAGTACATGAGGATTCCCTTTTCTCCACATCCTCACCAACACTTGTTTGTTGAGTTATTGATGATAGGCATTCTGAAAGGTGTGAGGTGGTATCTCATTGTGGTTTTGATATGCATTTCTCTAACAGCTAGTGAAGTTGAGCATTTTTTCATATACGTATTGACCATCGATAAGTCCGCTTGGGAAAAATGTCTATTCAGTTCCCCTTGCACATTTTTAAACCAAATTGTTTGGGTCTTTATGCTATTGAGTTGTATGAGTTCTTTATATATTTTGGATATTAACCCCTTATCAGATATATGGTTAGCAAATATTTTATCTCCTTTGGTAGGTTGCCTTTTCATGTTGTTGATGGTTTCCTTTACTGCGCAGAAGCTTCTTAGTTTGATGATGTCCCACTTGTTTATTTTTGCTTGTGTTGTCAAATCTAAAAAATCATTGTCAAGAACTATGTCAGGTAGGTTTGTGTTTTCTTCTAGGCTTATGGTTTCAAGTTTATGTTCAAGTCTTTAATCCATTTGGAGTTGATTTCTGTATATGGTATAAGATAGGGGTCTGGTTTCATTCTTTTGGATGTGAAAGAATCCAGTTTTCCCAACACCATTTATTGAAGAGACTGTCCTTTCCCAGTGTATATTCTTGGCTTCTTCGTCATAAATTAATTGAAGATATATGCTTGGGTTCACTTCTGAGCTCTCTATTCTGTTCCATTGATTTATGTGTCTGTTTCTTATGCCAGTACCATACTATTTTGATTACTACAGCTTTCTAATATAGTCTGAAATCAGCAATTGTTATGTTTCCAACTGTCTTTGTTTTTTTCAAGATTGCTTTGTTTATTTGGAGTCTTTTCTGGTTCCATACGAATTTTACAATTGTTCTATTTCCGTGAAAAATGCCCCGGGAATTTTGATAAGGATTACATTGAATCTCTAGATTGCTTTTGGTACAATGAACATTTTAACAATATTAATTCTTCCAATCCTTGAGCACAGACTATCTTTCCATTTATATGTGTCTTCTTCAAATGTTGTCATCAATGTCTTATAGTTTTCAGTGTACAGGTCTTTTACCTCCTTGGTTAACGTTATTCCTAGCTATTTTATTCTTTGTGATGCAATTATAAATGGGATTGTTTTTTTAATTACTTTCTGGTAATCTGTTATCAGAAACACAACTGATTTGTCTGCATTGATTTCATATCCTGCAACTTTACTGAATTTATTAGCTTTGGTGATCTTTAGGGTCTTCTATGTATAATATCATATCTACAAATACAATTTTACTTCTTTCTTTCCAATATCAAAGTCTTTTGTTTCTTACCTTGTTTGATTGCTGTGGCTAGGACTTCCAATATTATGCTGAATAAAAGTGGCAAGAATGGGCGTCCTTGTCTTGTTCCAGATCTTAGAGGAAAAGCTCCCAGCTTTTTACTGTTGAGTATGTTTTTAGCTGTGGGCTTATGATGTATCACTATATTGTGGTACGTTCCATCTATGCCCACTTGGTTGAGAATTTTTATCATACGGATGTCAAAGTTTGTTGAATGCTGCTTTTCTGTATCCACTGAGATGACCATATGGTTTTCATCCTTCATTTTGTTAATGTGGTTTATCAGCAACTTGAGCTGAGCTGCCCTGAGCTGCCGACGGGTGGCTGGATGGTTCAGTGGTTAGAGTGTGCACTCTTAGCAACAAGGTTTCCAGTTTGACTCCTGCATGGGATGGTGGGCTACACCCACACACAATTAAGATTGAACACGGCACCTTGAGCTGAGCAGCCTCAAGCTGCCGATGGGCAGCCGGATGGCGACTGGACTTGGAGTTGAGCTAGCTGCGCCCTCCACAACTAAGATTTTAGGACAATAACTTGGCTGTTCCCCTTCCCCAATTCCCTAGTAAAATCTTCATAAACAAAAGAAAAAAGAAAATGTGGAAAAAACACATACAGCTCATGACAGAAAAATCATTACTACCTATAGAGGCAAGAAAGAGATTAGTGATTATCTGGGACTGGGACTATCACTTTCATTATTGTAAAGCTGCAGTAAGTCTCATCAACTCAAATAAAAGCAATTACTTCCCTATAATTGACATGTCTATTAGAGAATGGCTGAAAACTATGGATCATTAAAAAGCTCACTATATACTGTTTAATAATTCATTTATTTACAAATTAACATGTGTATATGAAGGTAAATATTATCCCTGTTTGCTCTCTGATCTATTATAGATTCTAACTAGTAAAATTAAAATAAAGTATATCTACTCATAATAAAGAATGAGTTCTTTATGACTACAGCATCTTACAAAGTTTGAAATACATTTTAAGATAGAAAAAAAAGACTTACCGTCCAAAATTTTATAAAGTACTGTAAAACTGTTGTAGCCACGAAAAGGCAATATAGTAGGGAATACAATAAAAACAGCAGGAAGAATTTGTAATTAGAAAATCCCACACAGTTATTCACCCTAGAAAAATAAACAAAGTCACACTGTAAAAATATGACAAATCATAAACTCACAGAAACAAAAACTAGAATGGTTTTTTCCAGGGAAATGGAAAGTTGTTTAATGAGCATAGTTTCACTTTTGCGATGCAAGTTCCTTGAACAATGGGAACACACTTAACACTACTGAAAACACACATCCACAATTAAGACATTGCTCCTGACTTCCCAAACGACCCATTTCCAAATATAATGATTAAGTTTTTTGAAATGTCTTGTTTATTATAGACATTCTGAATGTGGATGTGTGTTTTTAACAAATGCTATAAGAAATTTGGAATTTTAATGTTAATCATTAATTATTTGGGTTAACATCACAATATATTTTTAAAGGAAAACATTTTATAAAAACACATATAGGGCTGGCCGAGTGGCGCGTTGATTAAGAGCTGGCTTGGGCCGCCAGAGGGCCCTGGTTCGGATCCCACATATGAGGGCCAGTGACACTGCCCTGTACAGCTAAGATGCTGAACAACAGCTCAATCTGGAGCTGGGCTGCCATGAGTCGCTGGCGACAGTGTAGGCTGCAGCCCCTGCTGCAGTGGGTTGCCATGGGCTACCATGTGTAGCCAGCAGCCAACGTGAGAGGCCCTCAAGCCGCCGTGAGCGGCTGTCCAGAAGCCGGGGACTGATCTGCGTCGCCTGGGAAGAGTGTAATGATGGTGCCAACTTGGGCCAGTGAAGCAANTCCTCCACAACTAGACTGAAGAACAAAAAGACAGCAACTTGTCTGTTCCCCTTCCCCCAATTCCCCAATAAAAAAATCTTAAAAAAAACAAAAAAACACATATATACACACAAGTATAAACACATATATAACTAGATCAATCATGGTACCTATGAGTCATTAAATTGACCTTCAAAATTTAGGAATGCTGAGGTCTATCACTCTCAATTCTCTCCTTCCCACATCTCCACTCCCATATATAATTTCCTTTATTTTTTATACATACCAAGGACAGTGATGATCCATCTTAAGAATACATCTAAAAAACAAATAAGTATAAGAAAATCCATGCAGAAAGTTTTTCTAATTCTAATTTCTGATAATTTTTTTCCTTAAAAATTTAGCTTTATAAATACATCTTAGAAAAATGAACCAAATAAACTTTAGAGAAACTTTCTGATATTTCCACCAATACTTTTGTAGAAAGAGGTCATGATTTTTTAACACTGAGAATTCAGCTGAGCATAGCCAGTTGCTTTGGGCCATATCAAGTGACATTTTAATACACAGATATGGTACAGACAGCTCTTGGTCCATTAGCTAGGACCAGCTTACAAATCAACTGAGGGAAATAAAATGAAATACACACAATCCCTATTTTAAACATGTGTAATCATAAAAATAAAACTTTAGAAGCAAATATGTTAAAATATTAACACTGATAGGCTTGTAGGTGTTCTTTTTTCCACATATTTTATAAAATTCTATCACATAAAGCACTACTATACTTTTATAAGCAAAAAAAAAAATCCCAAAATTTGCTCCTACCCAGAATGTGTAATCTATATTTGTATAGACCACAGATTATCTCAAATAATATAATAATTGAGTAAACTAACACCCAGAAAGTTAAACAGCTTGTCTAACTCAAGTTCAAGGACTAACTGGGATTCCCAAACTAGGGATCTCTCCTTCAACACACTACCTTCTCATAAGTGCACAAGGAATAAAATCTTTCAAATTTTTCTGGGAACAATGTTACAGATGGTAATCGAAAACATTATTTTTGTGATTTGTTAGGTTTTAATGTTAATATTAATAATCAAAACAAGAAAGCTGTCATTTTGGTCTTTTTAATCCAGGAAATACAGTTATCATTCTTTAGGGCGTTATTACTTACTTGCTCATCAATATTATATTAAACATGAACACAGGAAGTATATTTAAAGAAAATTCTGTCAACCAGTACAAAAACTGCTATGAAAGATTGCTCCAAGTATATTGTGGATTATAGAAATATTTGTTAGGCTGCTAGTATGTAGCAAATAATGGGCGAAGGCAGGGTGTTTTTGCTATGTATAAAATGTATAAGATGTTCCTGCCCCTTCGGTTCTCCCTTCACCCATTTCCAGTCCTGGGGTTAAAGGAAAGCAAATGAGGGTAATACTTACATGTCACATGCTGAGCAGTGATGCGCACGGTCAGGTTTAATCAACTGACATCTTTCACAATATCTGATGGCTACATTTAAGAATTAAAAGGAAGTTGTTGAAGGATATACAAGTTCAGTTATTTTGATTAAAATGTGCTTTCATTTCTTGTATGAACAACTCTGGGGAAACTGACAACTAATAATTCTGTTATCAGGCTTGATACTAGTTTTCCCACTTCCTAGCTGGTGACCTTGGGTCAGTGACTTGTATCTAAGAGCCTAAGTTTCCTCCTCTCTAATTGCAAGTTATACCAAATGTAATGAACTATTGTGTATATTAAAAAGAAACCTTTTAGAACATATCAGATTCTCAATAAAGCAGTTATCATTATAATAAAGTATTATTTCTAAAAAAATATAAAGTCAGGCTTTACGATGGGAAAAATTGGTGTGGGACAGAAAACCAGGGAGATTAAGAAGTGTACAAAGAGCCATTGTGGAGAACCCTCAGGAATGGATTCTGCCACGGACATCTCCCGAGTTTGCTTAGTGAGACACTGTTAGAAACCGTGGGAGAACACCTGACTGTCAGAGGCTTACGATAAGGTCAAGGTGGTGAGATGAGCACAAGGAACTATGAGGCAGTGACTTCTGATCTTCAAGGTAAGCATTTGAGAAGTTCAGAGAAGACTTTCAAAATCACTTCATGTTAAAGTGAATAAAATGGTTTGAAGAGAGGTGGACAGTGAATTAAATCAAATGAAACCAAAACTTTCAATTGGATTTAGAGAGGAGAAAAAAACCTTTCTAGGTAGAGAAAAAGACAAAAAAATAAAATGAAGGATAGAGTGTTTTAGCACAGAACTGACATAGGGAAACAGTGTAGGAGAAAGCTAGAGAGAAACGCTGCTGAGATCCAGACTGTGCAGGGGTGCAGGTTTAGAAAGACACATTTTGTTTCCTGAATAGATAATAATACATCTACACGGTTGGAAAAAGCACAAAGAGGAGTTCAGTGACAAGTTCCCAGCCCTGCTGCCCGGCCCCACCTCCCCCGAGAAGGCAGCACCATCCCTTTAGTTAATCTCTGGTCTATGAAGGTCCACGTCTTGTAGCACGCGTTTTGGAAGTTTGTTCTTTAAAGAATGAATGGATATTAGTTCTATAATAAGAAAAAAGAAGAAAAAGCCACGGAGTTTGGGATTCCCAGCAGTAGAAATGGTTCTCCAGAGCAGGCAGGACTCTGCCAGCAGTCAGAAGATAAGGTACGAATCCCAGACCTCGCCCCTAGGGGGCTGTGGGCACCTCACTGCGACTCATGTCTTCATCTGTAAACAGCGGACAAGCAGCACTATCTGAGAATTGTTCTGAGGGGTAAAGAATCCCCAGTGCCGCGATGAGCAGTCTGGTGTAATACTCAGCAGACAAGGGTATTACTCAGAGGAGAGGGCAGTCATGGTAACTAATGTAAAGCCCTGAAGCTTTCACATCAGTGGCTCTTCACTCTGGGGCACGAGTGCTGCTCTGACAATCAGATGATCTCGCTACCTGAAAAACGACCCCAAAGTTTGTGCACAATCTCAGGGCTTCCTAAATTTTCTGAAATCTTGGACTTTGGGTTGAAAACATCTGCTCTGCAGAACCACGACTGCTAACAATTACTGTAGACCAGACCTTTCCTACTTCAATATAACAAAGCAGTATCTTAAATTCGCTATCATGTACTGAGAATTCATTGCATAATGTGATCTATCCTAAGGGTGTACCGCATTTACGTGTCTCACTCAATACTTCCACTAACCCAGATACGCAGGTATTATTATACTTGTTTTAAAACGAGGAAATGAGGACTTGAAAGTTTCAGTGACTCTCACTGTACTAATAATGGAGAAGCTCGAGTTTGATCTGAAATCCATGTTTTCATTCTACACAGCAACATACTAGTTATGCAAAAGGACAGCATTGAGGGCATAAAAAATAAAAACTTGGTCAAACATTCCCTCCCAAACTTTAACCTTTCTAAAGTCACAATCTGTATATAACTATACACAGGGAAAGGCCCCTTTTACTTTCCCTTGGACTTGAGAAGCACAGTGAGTTCTGGAGCCAGAGCACCTCAACTTAAATCCGTTTTTTCACATAAGTCTGTATGACCTTGAACAAGTTACTTAACCCCTGTGTCTGTTTCTTTATCTGTAAAAACAGACAACAGTTTCTGCCTCACAATGTTGTTGTGAAGTTTCAGTGAGCTCTTACGTGCAAAGCATTCAGAACAGAGTACCTGTTAGTTATGACTATTACCTGGAAATAATTAATGAGGTATATAATTCGTAATTTAAAACAATTCCCTGGATTTCAATAACCAGCTTGACCACTCATTGATACACTCTATCCTAAGGCTCTACCCTTAGAAGAAGTTTCTACTGCAGTCACTTATCCCAACGAAGGAGGTCCCACAGGGGAAATACCAATGGCTTTGGATCCAGACATATCGGAGCTCAAGTTCTGGCTCTCTGAATATTAGCTTTACAACCGTGAACAAGTTTCCCCACTTTGTGTCTTTTACCTCTCCCCATTCTAAGTCAGCACATTCTTGATGTTTTAAAAATTACTTGGTGCTGACACACAATATTCAAATTCAAACCAGAATTTCCAAATACAAGTTTACAAAGAATAACAACTGAAACTTGTAGCCATGAGGTTGAGTTGGAAATCAGAGTATGCAGAGAAGGCACTCACATTAAAGTGAGCCTCTTAAGAGATCCGTATTTATTATGTGTACACATCTGCATCTGGAACACCACAGAAGATGCAGAGCACAGGAAAATCTTCCTGCACAGGTTATTTGTGATAATCACAAAATCAAGAAAATAGATGAATCATGCAAATATATCTTGGCATGAATGACCATATTTAAAAAATTCTTTGGAAAGGAAAGCTTAAGATTTGTCTTCCTTACTTCTGGAGCCTGATGTGGTGTAGATAGGTAAGTCCCTTGCTGTTCTTCTCAAAATGTCTTGTTGTCTTTCTGGGCTGAATTCCTTTTCATAACGTTCCTTTTCAGAATTGGACAAGTAGAACTATAAAAGGAGAAGCAACTATTAATTGTTTTTTTATAAGAAAGTTTTTTTTGTTTTTTTTTAAGATTTTTTTATTGGGGGAGTTGGGGGAATGGGAACAGTGCTGGGGAATTGGGGGAAGGGGAACAGACAAGTTGCTGTCGTCTTGTTCTTCAATCTAGTTGTGGAGGATGTTGCTTCACTGGCCCAAGTTGGCACCATCATTGCGCTCTTCTCTGGCGAGGCAGATCAGTCGCCGGCTTCTGGACGGCCGCTCACTGCGGCTGCTGGCCGCTCACGCTGGCTGCTGACTACACACGGTAGCCCCTGGCAACCCACTGCCACAGGGACTGCAGCCTACGCCATCGCTGGTGACTCATGGCAGCCCAGCTCCAGGTTGAGCTGTTGTTCAGCATCTCAGCTGTGGAGGGCAGTGTCACTGGCCCTCATATGTGGGATCCGAACCGGGGCCCTCTGGCATCCCAAGCGAGTTCTTAACCATCGCGCCACTCGGCCGGCCCTAATTGTTTTTAATCCCATGATTATTAACAATCACGCTCAGAAAAATTTTTATCCAGAACCACCCTCCCCACAAAAAGAATTTCTATGAAGGCAGAACCTCCCTTTGAATTTCTTTGAGAAGCTAAATCAGGCATATGTGAAAAAAACAACATACCTCTGACAGATTAAAAATACCTGCTGCACATGGTGCCAAAGAACGTGACCTAAATATGTCCGCATCTTTGTTTTTTTACAGAGGAAATTAAACTTCTCCACCGAAGGGGCCTTAATATGTATTTTCTATTAATAAAAATTTTGGTGTTTGAAAGCAAGTGTCAAGAGGTTTTTAATCTTTGGAAAAATGTCCAAAGATTCACTTGTTTTGGGTAAAAGGCTAATCACAGACATTGGGGTCTTATTTTCTGGCCAAATGTCTCAATGAGGTCAACAATTCATTCTTCTACTACTTTGTTTTAGCTTTTCAAAAGCTAACCAATAGGAGTACTTTCTCTAGAATTACTAAGAATTGTCAAGGCAAGCATTGTCTCTTTTTCTCACGCAGCTATTTCTTTATGGAGCTGTTTCTAGTTTCCATTTAAGTTTCATTCCCACAGTGTGACCAGCCGCTAGGTCATCTCTTTAAATAGCATTTAAAGTCCTCTACAAAGGACTTGTTTAGTTGTTCTTTTATGTCATCCCAGCATGTAAAGGACCTTCATTTTTACGCTTCTATTTCATGTAACCAGGAGTTTTATGTTTCTATTGAAGGGAACCAAAGTTTTGCCACCCCCCTTCCTGCCCAAGAGATTCAGACAGAGAAACCTGCTTCGGGAAGGATGTTAGTGTTATCGCCTCGGCCTGAAGAGCCTACTTTGAATTAGGTGTGGTAAATAAGAGGCTCAGGCAGAGCCTGGCACCCCTGTGTCCCTCTGTCTGAGTGCCCAGAAAGGATCCTCCCGCCAGGTGTGTTCACTCTTCCTCAACTCCCTGTAAATCGCCCATCTCACTTCTGAAATCTAATACCCTTCCCCTTTCTCCTTTGTCCGAAAATGTCAGAGACCCAGTGTTGCCTCACTGTCTTTGGGATCTTCATGTGTATGCAAATTCCCCGTGCACACATATTAAAACTTTGATTTTCTCTGTTCATCTGATGATTAGCCCAGCTGGAAGAACTCAGAAGGTGGGAAGGAAAGAATGAACTCTTTTTAGCTCCCATACTCTATCAGTCTTTATTTCATGGAGCTTTTTAAAACTAAAAATGGCTTGAGACTTGCTCTTGATCATGAGTTATTAATTAATTAATTTATTTATTTTAAGCTGAGCCATCCTGCCACCTGTTGGCAGCTCAGCAGCTGCTCAGCTCGGGCTGGGAATCGAACTGCTGTTGTTCACAGCTCAAACTCTTGAGCGAGCTCTTAACCAACTGAGCCACTCAGCTGGCCCTATGTTTTATATTTTAACAACACTATTCCTCAATTTTTATTTACTTATAGGGTTTTTCTCAAAAAGGCGTAAGGAATCATAACTGGAACTTTACCTTTTTATATTTAAGAATTTTAGTCTACTGCCAATTCAAACCCCAAGCTTCCCATACTCTTCTGCCTCATCATCAGTAGCGGCATCAGCTTATCAGTGTAGCCTGCTCTGTTAAAACAGGGCTATGGTTTGGAACAGCAGCAGGAGCTGTGGCTGAGCCTCAGGGAACCATCTAGACTGCACAACTGCAGGCAGAACTGGTATTAAAATACAAGACTGGTGGGTTCTACTCCTGTGTGTTCCCCCTGCACTGCTGGTGTAAAACACACGTTTTTTTCTCTTTGCAGGCCCTTCCTGAAACCTGACCAGAACACCACGGCTTAGGGAGTGGAAGAGTCTGTTTAAGTGACCTGGCCTGGCTCCCACAATCAAATCCTGATGGGACGAGAAATCCCCAAATTACTTATAAGAAATAGTAACACAGACAGATAAACAGGACAGAAAGAAGTCAGGAAAGATGCCACGATCGTGCAGCTGAGACTTCGGAGGTCACTTTCGTAAGTAACCTTTCACACAGGCAACTATCTTCAGGCACCTTTCCAAGACTCAGCCCCTCTTGAATACTCAGGTATAGCAATACGTTCCTCCTTTGCAAGAGAAACATAACTTGTTAGAAAGTTCTCCCCTGAACCGCTGTGTCTCTGAAACATTTAAATTGTTTAAATGTCTCTGAAGCTTTTAAATTATAAAAAGCTTAAGTCAAATGAAAATCTCAAGAGACACCAAAATTTAGATGAGGAATGGAACAAAATAAAATTTTAAATGGATTGGTTTTTAAATTATGACTAGAAGTCTATTTTTCATTAAAAACTACTGACAGAATTCAACAATGAAATGTCATTATTTTAAATTCAGTGTTCAGATGGTTCAATTTAAATATATATTAAATATATACTAAGAGCTTGGTGCTGTCCCATGGATCAGGGGTCCAAAGACCAAAAAAATAGAGGCTTTGCCTTCAAAAGTACATCCCCCTAAGGTCTAGCAGGAATGCTACACACACAAAGAACTGCAAATGACAAATCAGCATAGTAGACACATTAACAATACTTGGCAAGGTGAGATGAAGGCTCCCTTGGGAGGGGGTGGGGCTTTCAATGGAAGTTGCCCAGAGGAAGTGGGACCCAGCTACATTTTGAAAGATAAACAGGAATCTGCCAGACAACAAAGAAGGAAAGTCTCAGCAAAGGGAATAGCGAATACAGGAATCACAAAGATGTGACAACAGTTTGTTCAGGGCGATGTGTTACTTGAGCACAGAGTTCCAGAAAGAAGCAACAGAGATGGAGCTGGTAGGGTGTTAGATCACAAAGGGTCTTGTGTACCATGCAGATGAGCACGACCTTTATCTTGTAGCTGAGTGACAAGCTTGACTGGGTTGCCAGAAGTGATGGAAATATAGTTTCTTTCGGGAGAGATGACTCAGTGATAGATGATGCATACAAGCTATGTGTATGCCGCCTCCTCCCCACTCCCTCACTCAGGTGTTCAGCAATTTGTTCCATTATACACTAAGTCTGGTTCTAGGTAAGGGTACAGTGAGAAACACCGATTCTTCCTTCAAAGCTTATACTTTAGTGAAAGACTCGGTGTAAATGCCAGTTCTTCAGAGAAGACTTCTTTGACCACACTATAAAAAATAGCATTTTTCTATTTGCGTTTTCTCTGTTATATTCTACCACATCATCATGTTCTCTTTCTAAAGGTATCACAATTTGTAATTATTTGTTTGTTAACTCATGTATTCTCTGCCTCTCCCTTTAAAATGTAAAGACCCTCTCTGTCTTGTTCTTCGGATTCCCAGAGCCTATCAGACTGACAAACAAGAGGGACTAAGTACCTGCTAACTGAAAGAATGAAAAAATACCTATATTTGTAACTTAACTTTTCTAAAAATGCAGTTTTTGCTTTTTAAACCCAATTGGTTCCCCTAGATCTGATCCCTAATTGTTGCTCTAACCTCTGAGCTTCCAAAGTGCTTTTCAACACAACTCCATTAGCACCTATGTCATTATAGCGTGGAGATTACTTACAAAGAGCTACCTCAGTCCACACACTGTAAGCTTCTTTAGAAAGAGAACCCGAAATTCCTGTTCTGGGTTGTCACTGCAGCTCAGCTTGACTGGCCCGTAACACTTCAATAATCAATTCATTCAGTAGTAACTGAACACCCACTATGTGCTAGGTAGGGGGGAGAGGAACACAGTGGAGAACGTGACAGAAAGGATCCCAGCTCTCAAAAAGCTGAAAGCATAATAAGGTGGCGACACATACAAGTAAACCAGCAATTACAGTATAGGTGACAGGAGCTATGCAGGAGGGAGGCTGCCTTGGGCCGGCAGCTGAACTTGGCAGCTGAACTTGTAACGTGGGTTGGCGTGAAGGCTGCAGTAGGTACAAAGGCTTAAGCCCAGGAGAGACGTTACATGGATGCAACGTGTCAAAAACCACCACCAAAAACGAGGAGAATAACTTCTGGATGGCACTTACGATGTACGAGGCATTCTCAGGAAGCACTTTACAGTGCTTATTATGTCACTAAAAATTTAACCACATGTATTACTGATGGGTTCAATCCTTTCAGCCATCCCACAAGTCTATATTACCCCATCCTCATCTGACAGAGCTCTGAGCTACAGACAGCTCAGCAGTGTCTGGCCTCATCCAGCTTCTAAAGGGCAGAGAGAAGAACTGAACCTGGGCAGTCTGGAGCCATCTGAGTTCTTCAGCTCTGTACTCTACTGCTTCTTAAAAGCACCATCAATTGCTTTTATATTCTATTTCTTATTTCCTGTAATGAGAACTAAGCTTTCACACATGCTATGTTTTTAATAGCCATCACTACTAGAAATTGATTACATTAAATAAAATCAGGTCCTTTTTAACTGAGAGATTAAGATATGGATGACATAACGTCAAGGGTTGACTAATTATTACCAAATGCCTGAATATATTTGAAGAAATACCAAGTTCCATTAATGGTTTATGTTACCCCTTAAAACAAAAGCACACAATAGGAAAAATGGGCAAAAACATCTGGCATTATCTACTAATGCTGACAGTACATACAACTTAGGACCCAGCAATTCCACTCCTAGGCATCTCTCCAAAAGGATGATGTATATGTGCACATATGCACTACACATGTGTGTATACACACGTGTCCATTCACTCGAACGTTCACAGTTCACAGAAGCCCTCTCTGCAGTAACCTTCAACTGGAATCTACCCAAATGCTCGTGCCCATCAACAGCAGACCAGGTATGTAAACTGTGCTATAAACCACAAATGAACACGAAACAGGGACAATGATCCACAGCAACACAGGAGAATCACAAACGAAATGTTAATGACAGAAGCCAGACATACAAGCATATATACTGTGAGACTCCATTTACGGGAAGTACAAAACCAAGCCAAGCCACTCGGTGCTACCGGAGTGGCCTCCCATGAAGTGGGTGACTGGCAGGGAGCCGAGGAGGCTCATAGGAGGCTGGAGGTGTTCTGTTTCTTGAACTGAGTGGAAGTACTCAACTGTGTTCAGTTTGTCAAAGCTCATCAAGTGTACACTTACGGTGCATACACTTTCTGCATATATGTTCTTCTATAAAAAATTAAGTGGAAGTTGATATATTTAAACATTACATAATTTTTAATGAATTCTGATGAATTTAATAGAAAGATAAATAATTACATAATTATCACCAGCTAAGAATGTATGGTGCTAACCATGTATGCGGCAGGTGCTATGCTATCAATCTCAATCCTCAGAATATCCTACAGAGAGACAGGTACTATAATCAGCTCCAAATTCTAGGGAAAAAAGTGAAGCTCAGGTTCATTAAGTAACATGTTACACATCTGAAAAATCAAACTCAGACCATCCTAACCCTAGAGAATAGATTCTTAACCTTCTAGCTATTATATCGAAATTTGAAGTGAATGAAGACATCAGGTGATGCCAAGATCAAGAGAGGCACGCTGATCTTAAAACTTTTTCCACATAAATGTTTACTCACATTATTTTCCAAGTGGAAAGTTCAATTAAAATAAACACTAGCCATATTCAGGTGCTACAAGCAATGGCCTAGACAATTTGTTACCCACAATAAAAACTTTTTTTTAGGGCCGGCCAAGTGGCACATTGGTTAAGAGCTGGCTTGGGATGCCAGAGGGCCCCAGTTCGGATCCCACATATGAGGGCCAGTGACACTGCCCTCTACAGCTAAGATGCTGAACAACAGCTCAACCTGGAGCTGGGCTGCCATGAGTTGCCGGTGACGGCGTAGGCTGCAGCCCCTGCTGCAGTGGGTTGCCATGGACTACCATGTGTAGCCAGCAGCCGCTGTGAGCAGCTGTCCAGAAGCCAGTGACTGATCTGCCTTGCCCGGGAAGAGCGCAATGATGGTGCCAACTTGGGCCAGTGAAGCAACGTTCTCCACAACTAGACTGAAGACAAAAGGACAGCAACTTGTCTATTCCCCTTCCCCCAATTCCCCAATAAAAATCTTAAAAAAAAAAAAAAAAGAGTTGGCTTAAGAGCGCGAGCTCTGAGCAACAGGGCCGCCGGTTCGATTACCACATTGGCCAGTGATGCTGCACCCAAGGTGAGCTGGCGCTGAGCTGCCAACAGGTGGCAGGATGGCTCAGCTGGTGTAACAACAAGACTGCCTGTTCGATGGTGGGCTACGCCTGCCTGCAACGAAGACTGAACTCAGTACCTTGAGCTGAGCTGCCGCCCAGATGGCTCAGTGGGTAGAGTGTGCATTCTTAACAACAAGGCTGCTAGGTTCAACTCCTGCATGGGATGGTGGCTATGTCCACCCGCAACTAAGATTGAACTCGGCACCTTGAGCTGAGCTGCTTCCTGGATAGCTCAGAGGATAGAGCGTGCACTCTTAACAAGGCTGCTCGTTTGACTCCCCATGGGATGGTGACTGCGCCCACCCACAACTAAGATTGAACACAGCACCTTGAACTTAGAGGCTACGAGCTGCCGACGGGCAGCCAGATGGCGACTGGCGCCCTCCACAATGAAGACTGAAGAACAACTTGGCTGGTCCCCTTCCCCAATTCCCCAATTAAAAAAAAAAAATCTTAAAACAAAACAAAACACTTTCTTTAGTTGCAGCATATTTGTTCAGGCCTGAGAAAATATAAACATTAAGGGTTTCTAAAAATAAACCCTACTTTCCTAACGCAATTCTGGCCATTAAGATTTTTTACCCCCGTGATATAAAGTATGTCTTTAATTTAAGAAACTACAGCAAGGCAGGAAAATATTAGTACAGCTAAACTTTACTACTATTATTAATCTTTGACTACGATCTGCTAGTAGGCTGGTGACTCACACCCACAATGCAGAGTACCAAGCACTCTAATGAATGGAACAGAACAAATGCATTACATAATAAAGTTTTAACACAGGTAACACAGGGAAAAATGCATAATTAGTTACAGCACTTGGAGATTTACCAACATTAAATTTACCTCTTTGGAAGGGGAAGCGGGAGATGTAAAAATTGTCATCCAATAGGACCATACAAACATAACAAAGGACAGATGGAAAGTCACGAGGTAAACAACGGCCTTTCCTGGTAAATAAAAACAAATAACATTTCATTGAATCCCAGTGAAAGCAGGAAAAAGCATTACATTAAAACACAGTATTTAGGGTCAGAAGGCTTAATCTAACCAAAGGTTCTTAATTAAAACATACTAAAAACATCAAATACAGGAAGTCTTTTATCTGCATGATGGAACATCACAGGTACGAAGAAGCATTCTGCACCTGCATGTAAGGGTTATCAGGCTGGTTTACAGGTAAAGACTGTCATCTGACATGACACCTGATGGTACAGTTGCTGAAGACAAACTTGAAACACCTCCTTCACTCACTGCATTTCAAGCTCTTCCTAAAAGTTAGACCTTATATGACTTAAAATAGATTCCATTACTATGAACATTAAATCCAAGGAAACGCAAACTGAAAATAAAGGAAGTACCCATCACAGTGAGTAATCAGTACATGTGAAAAACTCAATTCCTGGATTGTTCAGAAAAGCTTTCCTAACTTTCATTCTCCTTTTCCACAAATGGAACACTTTCAGCCACTTTGAACTTCTGCCCTAACTGTCTCCCCAGTGGATTAGTGTAACATCCCAACACCTCAGTCTCCAAAAACTTACTCACTGATAGAATTTAAAGCTCTTTGTTGTGTTCTGCAGTTTTTCTATTGGAAATAAGTGGGGCTGGTTTCCACAAGAAGCAAGAATATCTACCAGGTGCTTAAACTCTGTTTGGAACACAGCACCACATACCCACTGAAGAAAACGAAGCCCAGACAAACATGCAAGTTTGAAATTCCACTCATTTTTAAAGTTCAGATCAAATATTACTTCCTCCACAAAAGCCCTTCTCCATCACTCTGATGACTCATCACCCCTTCATACTCTACTCCCCAAATAATTTGTTCAGACTTCAATGAAACCACGAAATTTGATTAGTTGAAGTTAGTTGCCTAATACTGATGACCTAATAAATGCAAAACTCTTAAGACAGTACTGGCTATTGTTACCACAGAAGGGAACCAAAGTTTGGCCACCCTTAAGTTGTCTCTGGAGGATATTGATTTTAAGCTGTTTATTAAGAAACAAGACTCAGAAAGAAACTTTGACTCCTCCTCCACCCCCTCACCCCCACCCCACTTCCTGCCCAAGAGATTCAGACAGAGAAACCTGCTTCGGGAAGGATGTTAGTGTTATCACCTCGGCCTGAAGAGCCTACTTTGAATTAGGTGTGGTAAATAAGAGGCTCAGGCAGAGCCTGGCACCCCTGTGTCCCTCTGTCTGAGTGCCCAGCAAGGATCCTCCCGCCAGGTGTGTTCACTCTTCCTCAACTCCCTGTAAATCGCCCATCTCACTTCTGAAATCTAATACCCCTCCCCTTTCTCCTTTGTCTGAAAATGTCAGAGACTCAATGTTGCCTCACTGTATTTGGGATCTTCATGTGTATGCAAATTCCCCGTGCACACATATTAAAACTTTGATTTTCTCTGTTCATCTGATGATTAGCCCAGCTGGAAGAACTCAGAAGGTGGGAGTAACTCTGTTTAGACCCCACAATGTTGTTACTCCCCAAGATCTTAATTTCTTCTCACAATTTGGTTCTTTTTGTGCTTTGCCTATGCTAGTGTTTCCCGAGTTAAAGGACTGACAATCATTTTCACTGATCTACAGTGAAATAAGAAACACTAGAAACAAACCGATGAATGTTTTACAAAACTAACATGTATTCAGTTCAAAGTACTGTCCTTCCTTTGGTCTGAGCTTATTTCTCCTTATACTTTTGGCTTTCAAAATCTTTTTAAATAAACTAACAATACAATTTGACAAATCCTTGGACCCCAACATTTTCCTTTGCAATTGTCCTGGTATGTGCCTGGTCCAAGAAGGAAGCAAGGGCTCAGTGACTCCTCACCGCCGTGACACCTCTAACAGTACACCGTACTTCAAATTTCAGCTCCTCGCTCTCTCAAAGTAACCGCCTCCTTATTTTCCCCGCCAGGGCAACAGTTCAACAGTTCATAAGTTGCTGCTTATCTCACTTGAATTTCTGCAAAAGCCAACTGGTCCCCCGTCCAGTCTCTCTGCTTGCCACCCATTGCAGTAGGCAGTGTATGTCATGTGGCTGAGTTCTTGTAGCCTTGGCAGTGAGATCCTGTAAGTACCTCCAGGGGCATAACAAATGCACTCTGAACTGGGACTTCCTCGGAGCCATACTTGACAGTCTATTCAAACCCCCACTGCAGCCATGAAAGGCTGCTAGAAGGCAGACCTCATTTTAACCCTCACAAGTCCTGTCAGGTGCTTTCAGTTTACAGATGTTAAAACCTGAGGTTCCGAATTGAATATCTTGCCCAATTTCACTTAGCTATCAACCCATGTCTGCTTGATAAAAACCCCAAGTTCTTTCCACTATGAAATTATATTTTCCTCCACTTCTTGAACCATCCCCTTGAAGTGGCACAGGCCACTTCAGAGCCAACAAATGATACCAAGATAAAATCCCAACTATTGGGTTGTCGGAAAAGTCATGACGTATTTTGTCTGTTTTTCAAAAGTCATTTATTTATATAAAGAACAAAGATCAATCAATGATATATTGCCTGTTTTGTTCGATAACTTTCGCCATCTTTCAGTGAGCTTCATAATTTCTTGTTCGTAGAAGGACCTGTCTTTATTTGCGAAAAACTGAACAAGGTGCTCATTTACAGCCTCATCTGAATTGAACGTTCTACCACACAAGGAGTTTTGAAGAGAATGAAACAAGTGGAAGCCTGACGGCACAAGGTCAGGCAAGTGTGGTGGGTATGGCAACATCCCATCGAAGCTCCGATAATTTTTGACAGGTGATCAAACTTGTATGTGGTCCCGCATTGTCACGATGGAACACAACTCCTTTACAATTAACAAACTCTGGACATTTCTAGATGATGGATTCATTCAAACTGTCCAACTGCCGACAGTACACATTCGAATTGATTATTTGGTTCCTTGGTAGCTCGAAAAACATGATACCTTTAAAATCCCACCACACAGAGAGCATAACCTTCCTCTGATGAATGTCTGCTTTCGATGTCGTTTGAGGCAAATCATCATGCCAGGACCAAGACCATTTGCACTTCACATTGTTGTAACAATCCACTTCTCATCACCAGTTATCAGTCGCTTCAAAAAAGGATCCTTTTCCTCACGTTTAATGAGCATATTACAGATGTTTATACGCGCCATCAAATGAACTTCTTTGAGTTCATGCGGAACCCAAATATCAAGCTTGCTTACGTATCCCAGCTTCGTCAGGTGGTCATGAACGCTTGAATGATGGATGTTCAATGTTTCTGCAATCTCTCATGTCGTGTAACGTGGGTTGACTCAATCAATGCCTTTATTTAGTCCTCATCAACCTCGGTGGGCCTCCCTGACCGAGAAGCATCGCTGAGATCAAAATCACCAGCACAGAATTTCGTGAACCACCATTGGCATTGACGTTCTTGTAGAGCATTGTCACTGTAAACGTTATGCAACTTTTCACAAGCTTGACACACATTTTTCCCTTTATGGAAGTAAAATAGCAAAATATGGCAAAAATGCAGAGTTTGGTCTTTTATCTTCAACTTGTTGTAAAATCTCCAAAACTCAACCAAATCGCTCAATTTTTTTTTCAAAATGAAGCTAGAATTGTTAGCTGTCAAATGACATAGCAATACGTAACATAGATGCAGATGACTCTAGTACTTCCACAAATGAACTAGTGCCATCTGTTGCAAACATGCGTCATGACTTTTCCGACAACCCAATATTTTCAAATTTGCTTTCTTTTCACTTCCATTAAAAGTGATTGTCATCCTCATTGAAAATTCTGGTTTCTCAGGATCATTCTGTACCATCTTGGCTCTCTCCAGGCTGAACCCATGGTCTACTCAGTGGATTGAATATAATTCCTTCATTTGTTTTTCAAAACTTTGGAAAAGCATGCTGGAGCTCAGCCTCCTGCTGTTACCCCCTAGCTCACCTCTTCTTCACCTAGCTCACCTCAATTAATGACAATATTTGCCTGGCCCCATATTCAGTCATGTTTGTCAATCCTCATCTAGATACTATTGTATAGCTTTGAGATAAATGGTAATCTTGAGTTACTCTAAAATTTCTTAATCATTTACTTACAATTAAGGCTAAAATGAAAAACATACTTTAAAAATATTTTTTAAAACATTTAATACAGTTTTACAACATTTCTGCTCTCCATAATAACAAAAACAATGGCTTTTGCTTTTATTGGGTTGTTGGAAAAGTCATGACATATTTTTTTCTATGTTTTTCATTGCAAAAAATGTGTCATGACTTTTCTGACAACCCAATAAAAAACCCCTTAACCTTTGGTTACAAAAAATAGATAAATCTCTTAGCAAAATGCCTGGAATAGAGTAAATACTTAACACACAGTTAATTATCAAATTATAATGTAAAGAACAATAGAAAATATTGCTATTAAGTTTGAATTAATGTGATAGCTAATAAGCAAACTTCAGGTCACATATAGAAGCTAGAAGACATATACAAGGGGTGATCAACAAATACAGTGAATGTTTAAATTTAAAAAAATGTATTACAGTAAAAGACACATTGCCATTAATCCCCCTTAAAATATTCTCCCTCTCTTTGAACAAACTTATTCAATGGTTCTTGCTACCTTCTGGAGCAGTTCTGGAAGTCCTCTTTCATGAGTGTCTTTACTTCATCCTCCATCAGGACAATGCTCTGTGTCACATATCGCTTCTGGTATACAGCAATTTCTGTCAAATAAAAACATTACGGTGTGTCCTCATCCACCGTATTCACCGGATCTGGCACCGTGCGACTTCTGGCTCTTCACCAAAGTCAAAATGACCATGAAAGGTAAACATTTTGAATTGATTCAGGACATCAAGGCACAACTAAAGACACTCACGAAAGAGGACTCCCAGAATTGCTTCAGAAAGTGGCAAGAACCATAGAATAGGCATGTTTGAAGTGAGGGGGGAGTATTGTGAGGGGGATTACTGGCAATGTGTCTTTTACCATAATAAGTTTTTTAAAATTTAAACATTCACCATATTTTTTTATCACATCTCATATAAAGTAAAAGTTAACTAAGCAAATGAAATCAAAATTGAAAGAAAAACTGAACCTAAAATCAGAAGGTCTGATTCCAAAATCACCTGTAACTGAATTAAAAGACAAACCAAACAGTAAACAAAAAAAACTTCATCAAAAAGCTCAGCGATATGGGGAAAATCTCCCCAAGAAATGATGCAAGTTCAAAGTTCTCTTATGAGAACGTCAGCAATTCTCTTTCTGTATGTGCGCTTTCAACATACGGGAAACAGTTTTGATTTAAAGGAAGAAAAATAAGCCTACTAAGATTGAGTCTACGTTTATTCTGTTACTGAGAAATTAGATTCAAAGGTAACTTGAGATTTACAAGCTTAATGCCTAATTATTTCCAATAATAAGTATTAATTTCCAACTGCTCATCTGTTCTAGAAATCCTCTGGAATTTCATATCTCAAATCAAGTTTCATTTCTGAAGTTTGATCAAGAGATTTAAATTTTTATTTCATCTCAGTGAAATTTTGAGCAATTTTTCCCTCTAGGTATGGTATTTGACTAGTCATTATAAAACTTTAATTCCCTTTCAAAATGAGCTAGTAATACCATTTACAATTTACAGTCTGGTTATTTAATTAAATGTCTGTAAGTAGTAAAGTACTATTTTTAACAAATGTATACACAAAAGAAAACAAAATCCCCTCCTCAACCCTAGCTAGAACTGTATTAAAAATCTCTGAACTATTACTATAAAGAGTTCTAAAAAACACACAAGGCAGAAATATGTACATAAGTATATCAAAGAAGTTTGGGTACTAAATGCCCTACAAAATAACAGCTACTTCAATTTATATAAATAACAGAAACGAGAAGAATACATTGAATGTATAGGAATAAATCCAATATTACATAGCATTTTAATGAAACTTTAAAAATATATGTTTTCTTCCTGAAAACACAAACACACAGTCATTACTAAAGTATATGGGTTGCAATTATGATACTGTAAGTAGTCTACTTAAATTGAGACTAAAAGTATCTTACCGTTTTCTCCATTTCCAGAAAGAGTAACTAGAAAAGAAAAAATAGTGAATAAATATACTTTAAACATTTTGTACATAAATGTTATTGCAAGTTGACTATTCATCTTAATATGATTTTCATAAAAATAAAATTTGGTTATAAAATGTAAATACTAACACAAATTCAGAAATGGACACACAAAAAACTCTGAAAACACTAAAATGCTAAAATTCAAATTTTCTATCATTAACAGTGCAATCACATTTAAAAATTTTTCAGACCTTTGTTAATTTTAAGTGTATCAATATGGTTATAGCTGTGATGTTTCTTTAGCTCTTTCCTTACTGTTGCCTACAGGACGCATAGGACTCTCCCTGTGGCACTCATACTTACTTAATTAGTCTGTGGCATACTTTATGTAGTTTTTTCTTAACTTCTTTGACACCATATCTGTATCTCTTTGCTTTTATACTGAAAATCTTAATTCCTAATTAATTAATTTACTTATTTGGTTTATCCTAAAATATGCATAGTTTAAAAACTGCATACTAGTTTAAGATTTCTTTGCAGTTTTTTAAATGTTGCTTTGGCTTTCAACTATATCCCACTAAGCAATTCTATGTTCAAAAGTCACTTGAAATAATTCTTCTGTGGAGTTATAGTACCAACCTTATATAAAATTAAGTTCATTTGTTTCATGATTTCAAATTCTACAGTTTTCTTTTCCCCGTTTTAAATTTATTTTTTCGATATGTAAAAAATATCAATGGTTTAAAAGTGAAAACTATATAAAAGGTACTCAGAAAGGCCTGGTTTTCAGTCCTCACCCTCTCACCCTAGGTAATCATTTTTACTAGTGACTGTTTAACCTTTTAATAGTTCTTTTAGCAAAACAAGCAAGTATGTGTGGATTTTCCATTTTGTCCTTTATGTACCATTCTACATCTTGCTTTTTCCATCACACACACTAACATGGACACAATCACTGCTTGTTCAAAGCACTGCACAGTATTCCACTGTGTGGGTGTTCCGGTTGTACAAGCAGGCCTCTGTTGACAGACATCTGGGCTGTCTCCAATCTTCCGCTGTCACAAACAATGTGGCAATGAAAGACATGATGCATGTGCTGTTTATCTGTGGAAGTTTATTTTCAGTGTAGATTCCTAATGGTGTGATTACCGGACGTCTGCTTATCCCCAAATATGTTACAGGGTTGCACCATTTTATAAGCCTACCAGCAATGCATGACACTGCCTTTCTCCAAAGTCTACCCAGTAAGTGTTTTCAAACTTTTGGTATTGCAGGGTACTTTGCATTTATCTTGTAAGTGAGGGTAAGTGTCTTTTCATAAGTTTATGAGCCATTTTCATTTTTTCCCTCTGAACTATCTGTTTGTGTCACTTATCCATTTTTTTCTATGAGGCTTTCCTCACGCCCTGGTTATACCACCATCTACCCATGTGTTCTTCTAGGACTCGAGTGTTTTTATTTTTTACATTCAGATTTGGTCAACTTTGAAATGGCACATTCTAGGAGCAGGAAGAGTATCAGATAAGCTGGAAAAATCTCATGGTGCCAGAAAGTAAGGAAGAAACAAATTATGGGGACATGTCAAAAGGACACAGAAACCAAATGGAAACAGCTACTACTGGCCAAATCTGGGACAACCTGAGCAACAAAATCAATGATAAGATAATATTATAATCCATAAAATGAGGATCCATGAAAGCATGCTGATATAAATGAATAAATTAAAGAATAAAAACATGGGGAGGAAGGCCGGCCGAGTGGCTCAGTTGGTTAAGAGCTCGCTCAAGAGTTTGAGCTCTGAGCAACAGCGGTTCGAGTCCAGCCCGAGCTGAGCAGCCGCTGAGCTGCCAACAGGTAGCAGGATGGCTCAGCTAAAAAACAAAACAAACAAAAAAAACAACCAAAAAAAAAACATGGGGAGGGAGGAGACCGCTTCCTTACAATTCTATTGTAATTAAACATAGAAGAAATCGTGGAATTAGAAAAATCACAATTTGGCAACCCGCAGAATAATACCTGTTTCAAGCAAGAATCAAGAGATGCTAAAGGGAGTACGTGTGAGTGACCGCGAACAGATTTACAGTGTCAAGGTGCTCCATACAAAGATTTTGGTGTCATCTTGGGTTCTCTGCCACCAGGTGCTGAGAGAGTCGGGGGTGCAAGACATCTAGTGTGAAAGGAGGGGTATGAAACAGAGTTGGGCAAAGGGAGAAGTCTAACTGCAGGGCAGGCCTATCAAGGCCTCCGCCCATTGGCACTGAGCTCTGAAGCAGTGCAGCCTCTTCTCACTCAGGCACAGAATGCAGGCTGCCCAGAAAGGGTGTGACCTTGAGTGAGGTGAATCATGCTCAAAGGGCTGACAGCAGGAAGCTGTCTGCAGGCCGCACTGCCAGCACTGCCACAGCGGAGCAGAAAGCCGTTACTGGAAGGGGGTCTGTGCAGCACACCTCAGTCTACCAGAATACTTATTAATTACAGAGAAAAGCAGTGCCTTTACAGAATGGAGATGCTCGGCAGACAGCACCTGAAATGATCAGAGTGAACAGTCCCCAAAGTGTCAATCAGTGACACATTATTACTTTTGTGGTATGCTTGCTAAAAATGCACTCTGACTTGAACCGTGAGGAAACATCACACAAACCTAATATGAGGGACATTGCACAAAAGAAGGCTGTACTCTTCCAAAATGCTATGGTCACAAAAGACAAAGCAAGATTGAGGAGCTCTTCCAGGTTAAAGGGCACTGGAGACATGACAACAAACTGAATGTGTAATCCTAGGCCAGACTGGGGAGCAAAACAAGGGATGAGTAGGACAGCTGGTGAGGTCTGAGTAAAGGAGTAGTATATTTCACCAATGCTAATTTCCTGATTTTGATAACTAGACTGATTATATGAGACTGTTCTTTGCTCTACACTGAATGTTTGTCACCCTCTCCTCCCCCTGACCAAAAACATTCATGTTAGGTCATAAGGGTGAAGCCCTCATGAAAGGGATTAGAGCCCTTTTATGAGAGACCTCAGAGAGCCCTTGCCCCTTTTACCATGTGATGATACAGTGAAAACATGGCCATCTATGAACCACACCTGGTATCGCTGACACCTTGATCCTGGACTCCCAGCCTCCAGAACTATAAGACACACATTTCTATTGTTTAAGCCACCCAGTCTCTGATATTCTGTTATAGGACCACAAGCAGACTAAGACATTCTTGTTCTTAGGAAATAACACTGAGGTATTTACAGGTAAAGGGATATTGCGTCTGCAACTTACCCTCAAACATTTCAGAAAGAGAATGTAGCAAATAAGATTTAGGGAATCTATGTGAAGCACATATGAAAGTTCTTTGTATATTTTTCGCAAGTCTGAAATTATTTTAAGATTATTTTTAAAAGTTTAAAATATAAGAAAAAAAATAAGATTTTATCCATTTGTAGCTTATCTTGGAATAGTGTGGAGTATGGAACCAATTTTATCTCTTACCAAACACCTATCCAGTTGTCTCATCTTTTCCTCTGTAACTTGAGATGCTATTTTTATCATATTCTAAAGTTCTATAATTTCTGGACATTCGATTCTGTTCCATTTGCCAGTATGCTTGTCCATGCAACATACCATACAATTGTTTTTATAACAGACTTTATTTTTTAGAGCACTTTTAAGTTCACAGCAAAATTGAATAGAAAGTTGAGAGTTCTCATATACCCCCTCACAGTTTTAATTATAGAGGCTTTGTGGTGTAAAATCTGGTGGGGTTAGGACTCATTATCACTATTCTGTTTTCAGGGGTTTCCTGGTGGTTCTTCCTTGTTTATTTTTCTAAATGACCTTTAGAATCCACTTGTCGAGTGACAGAAATTCATTTATACATTAACTTGGGGAGAAATGATATCTTTGTAATGTCAAATTATTCTATTCATAAACAGGAAATATGAAATGTCCTTCCATTTGTTCAAGTCTACTTTTGTTTTTCAAGAACGTTTTTCAACTCTTATAGGCTTGGTGTATTTAAGTTTATTCTTAAGTGTTTTATCTTTTTGATGTTATTGGAAATGGAGACTTCTCCACCATATTTTCACTTATTCATTATTTTCATCATTGTGTGTATTTAGAAGGTATTGGCTTTTGTTTGCTAATTTTATATCCTATTTCACTTAATGTTTTTGCATAGATGCTCTGTTATTGGTTCTCTTGGCTTTTCAGCATGTACTATCATTATCACATCATTTGCACACAGAAACAGCTTTCCCTCTTCCTATCCAATGTGTTATGCTTCTAATTATTTTCTCTTGATTAAATGTGGTAACTGATTGGCTAATATGCTGCTACATGGTAATAGCCATAGTAATAAGCATCTTACTTTAATTGCTGGGTTTTGTTGTTTGTTTTTTCTTTTTTATTGGGGAATTGGGGGAGGGGAACAGTGTTGGGGGATTGGGGAAGGGGAACAACCAAGTTGTTGTCCTTGAATCTTAGTTGTGTAGGGTGCAGCAAGCTCAGCTCCAGGTCCAGTCGCGCCGCTCAGCTCAAGGTGCCGAGTTCAGTCTTAGTTGTGGGTGGGCGTAGCCACCATCCCATGCAGGAGTCGAACCAGCAGCCTCGTGCTTAAGAGCTCATGCTCTATCCTGAGCCACCCAGGTGGCAGCTCAGCTCAAGGTGCCGGGTTCAATCTTTAGTTGCGGGCAGGCATAGCCCACCATCTCGAACAGGCAACCTTGTTGTTAGGAGCACGTGCTCTCACCAGCTGAGACGTCCTGCCACCTGCTGGCAGCTCAGCTGCAGCTCAGCTCGGGAGCAGCTCACAGGCCCATGTGGGAATCGAACCGGTGACCCTATTGCTCAAGCTCGCTTTTTTTTTTAAATATTTTATTGGGGAATTGGGGGAGGGGAACAATGCTGGGAAATCGGGGAAAGGGGAACAGACAAGTTACTGTCCTTTTGTTCTTTAGTCTAGTTGTGAAGGACGTTGCTTCACTGGTCCATGTTGGTATTATCATTGCGCTCTTCCCAAGTGAGGC